AAGTGTGTTTTCCCCGAGGAATTCGACTACCATTTGATTTAATTTTTAATTTTTACATTTTAATCAAAAATAGATCAAATGGTGGTGTTCTCCCCTGGGAACCATACTTCAGATACGAAGCAGTCCATGTTCCTTTTAAATATGTAAAGCTGCCATTTATGTATAACTCATGAATGACACCCCGTGTTGTAGGCAAGGATCAGCTGGTGATTTGGGGGTTGTAGCAGCACCACCACCATCACCACACAGAGATGCCCACCTGGGGAGGGCCTGGGAGCTGTCCTGCCCATCCTGAGGGGAAGGAAGAGCCCCAGGGATGGAGGATTCCCCATGGATGGAGGATTCCCCAGGGATGGATGGAGGATTCCCCAGGGATGGATGGAGGATTCCCCAGGGATGGATGGAGGATGCCCAGGGATGGATGGAAGATGCCCCAGGGATGGATGGAGGATTCCCCAGGATGGATGGAGGATGCCCAGGGATGGATGGAGGATGCCCCAGGGATGAAGGATGCCCCAGGGATGGATGGAAGATTCCCAAGGGATGGATGGAGGATGCCCAGGGATGGAGGATGCCCAGGGATGGATGGAGGATGCCCAGGGATGGATGGAGGATGCCCAGGGATGGATGGAAGATGCCCCAGGGATGGAGGATGCCCCGGATGGATGGAGGATGCCCCAGGGATGGATGGAGGATGCCCAGGGATGGATGGAGGATGCCCAGGGATGGATGGAGGATTCCCCAGGGATGGATGGAGGATTCCCCAGGGATGGATGGAGGATGCCCCAGGGATGGATGGAGGATGCCCCAGGGATGGATGGAGGATGCCCCAGGGATGGAGGATGTGCTGATCCCATGTCCTGTGAACCAGGGGAGGAGCTGGGCTTGGCAAGGCAGGGTCAGGAGCAGAGTTTGGAACATCAGAGCCAAGCACAGACTGCAAAAAAACTTTGGATATTGGGAAAATTCCCTCCCAAAAAGGGCTGTCAGCCCTGGGAGGGCAGGAATGCCCATCCCTGGAGGGATTCCCAGCCCTGTGCATGTGGCACTCAGGGACACAGGCAGGGGTGGCCTGGGCACTGCTGGGACGGGCTGGGCTCGATGGTCTGAGAGCCTTTTCCAACCTAAACAATTCTGTGATTCGGCTGCACCTTCCTAGGGTTCTTTATTTTTCTGTGTTTTTAAGCACTGTGATCCCTGCTGGTTTGGAGTGCTGATGTCCCCAGGGCAGGGGCAGCTGCTGGAGGCCTGGCCAAGCCACTTGTCACCACTGGGAAATGTGGGAGAGAGGGAACAAACCCGCAATTCCCAGGAAAAGTCACTTGGCCCAAAGCTCCACCCCCAGCCCAGTGGCCACACAGAGTTTGATGTGGAAAATGCCCGGTGTGAGGTTAATTTGGGAATTATCTGCAGCAGTCAGGGCAAGCACAGAGTTATTTATGTGTGCCTACAAGTCTGCTAACACAGGGTATCACACCACGCTCCCAGGGGAGCTGCAGAGGCTTTAAGCAGCTAATTTAGACATAAACACCACGGATTTTAAATCTATTCAATAAATCATAATATTTAAAATAAACAAAAATAAATTTGAATATATTAAGTGTATTCATTGCAACAAGTAAGTCTTGGCTTGTCAGAATCCAGGTTGTCTTTAAACCCCACTTATCCCAATATTTTGATTTTCCACCTTTTTTTGGCAGTCAAGATGCCAAGTGGACTTGTAATTACCATCAAATAAATGAAGTGAGCAACTAAACCTGCTACACAGATTTTACATGACAGAAATAATGTATTTCTTCTCCTCATCAGAGGTTTTATTTACCTTTATTCCTCAGCATCCTCAGAAATAACCCCTGGAATAACACAACCAGACAATTCCATGCTGCAGCCAAAGTGCTGTTTAATGCTTCTGCTTTTGTAAGGAACAATTTACAAAACACAAAGTTAAAAATAAGAATTAGATCCTTTAAACCTGAATTAAAAACAGGCCAGGGGCCTTTCTCTCTATGTACAGGTAAATAAAGCATCACTCTGGTTATTCTGTGTACAAACCACAGCAGTAGGAAATAGAAAGTTTCTGTATTTTTTCATCAAGAAAACAAAATTTCAGAGTTCTACAAGGCATAGAAAAATAGCTCTGTGGTTCCACTGCAGATTTGACACAAATCTGCTTTAAAGGAATATTCACTGCCTGAAAAAAGCACTCCTTGCCCTGCTGGGAAACACGGAGCAAGGAATCACATCCACGAGGAAAAGTTGGCTTTGGAATTTATCCAGGAGCATCTGCCTTCCCATTTGGGACAAAACTGGGGGATAATGAGGTGTCTGTGAGGGTTAAATGTGGTTTTATTCAGCTGGAGAGTCAGGGCAGCTGTGGGAACAGCTGGATGTGAATGCAGGGAGCAGCTCCAGGGGTTCCACCTGATTCCCACAGAACGGAGCTGAAATGTGAATTTCTGCAGGTGCAGGGTGGGCAGAGCCTGGCACAGGGGCCCAGAGCAGCCCCTGGATCCCTGGCAGTGCCCAGGGCCAGGCTGGACATTGGGGCTGGAGCAGCTGGGACAGGGGAAGGTGCCCCAGGTGGAACTGCTGGAATAGCTCTAAGCTCCTTTCCAGCCCACAGCAGGCTGGAATTCTGCAAGGAAGAGGTGACTGGGATGGCTGGAGACGAGGGCAGTTCCCTTTCCACTGGCTGATCCCCTTTTTGCAGCTCCTTCCCAACACAGATGGGATTAGTAGGAGAACAGATTTCACTAATTCAAATTTCACCACAGGCTTGCTCTGCTTTCCCTGTGTTCCTGGGGATCCCTGCTTGGGATCACCCCCCTCAGGGCCAGTGTCTGGAAAACATCTTTAGGAATTCCCAAATCCAGCCATCCCACCTGCAGGAGGCATTTGGGCCAGCTGGAGGATGTCCCTGCTCACCTGCAGAGCCAAAGGCAGGACCCAGAGCTCAGGAATCCCCAGTGCCGGTGGGAAAAGTGATCCCAAAAATCCCATTAAAATCCCCCAGCAGCTGGGAGCAGCCCTGGGATTTACCACCACATCTCATGAAAAACGCTGTCAGAGCAGGAGGATTTAAAAGAACGTGGCACCAACCCCAGCAGGAGCAGAAGGAAAAGCAGGAAGGAAGCAGCTGGCTCTTGGCTTGACCCCAGGGCGGAGCAGATTCAAGTTTAAAGCAGAGGAAATATTGACACAGGTTATCTGTGAACCCCTGAACACGATAAAAATGGAGTTATTTAAGGAAAAAACACTTCTTTGCTTTGGCAATCCAGCTATTCCCTGTGTTCTCAGCTTGATCCCTCACTGTGGCCTGATGAATTCTGGCAGAAAACTCTCCTGCCACAGAATCTGAGGCCAGGTTTGGGATTCCCCTCTCTGAACACCTGAAATTTTGACTATTTTGGACCAAATTTTGACTATTTTTGACCAAATTTTGACTATTTTGGACCAAATTTTGACTATTTTTGACCAAATTTTGACCAGTCCTAATTGTTACTCGTCACACTTGAGGTTCTGAGTGATTTTGCAGGAAATAAATCCATTTAGCCCTTCACATTTAATCAGATATTTCAGCTTTTGCAGCAGAGAAACTGCTGTTTATCCACCTTTTCTTTTAAATACTGCTTTGATTTTAAAAAAAGGCAAAGGAAAAAAAAAATTTAAAAGGCAAAGGTTAAATATAAAAATGTAAATTTTACATTGTAAAAATGTAAGGTAAAACAGGTATGTAAAAATGAATTCCCCAGGAATTCTGACCCACCAGATCTTGGTCTCAAGTATGTAAATACTAACTTAAAAATATTTATTCTTAATTTAACTAAAATTTTTATTGGCTTGGAGGAAACTTATTTATTTTAACCAAAACCTGAATGCCAATTAAGTGCAGATTGGACTAATTTCATTATGTGTTACTTAGTTAAATTCAGTATTTATGTGATATTCCTTTATTTAATGAGAATATCTCCTTAAGAACACAATTCAGTGCCAGCTCCAGCTGCACACACAACGTGGGAAGGATTCAAGGACTGCAAAAAAACCTTTGCCTGAGGATTCTGCAGCCTGATAACCCCCAAAATTCACCTTTCAGAGGTTAATTAACCTGTCATTAAATTAGTGCCAGAAAAAACCTGCTGGATGATGAGGTCAAGCCTTTTTAAACAGATTTTTTTTGGGGGGGGGAATTTAAATGTAAGCTTCAATGGGATTTTTCCTGGATTTCACAGCTGCAAAGCCACTTAAAAACTAAAATTTGTGTCCTCCCATTCCTGCCTGTGGCCCTGCACAAGGAGGGTTTTCCAAAGGAGCATTTTCCAAGGGATCCAGGACTGTTGGGAAAACCTTTGGAATCAAAACAGCCCCTGGCCCAGCCCCAGGTGAAGCCTGGGCCCAAGGCCAGCTCAACTTAACCAGTCCAAAACATGAAATCAGCCTTTTTTTGTTCTTTTTTAGACAATTCTGAGCTATCTAAACATGAAATCAGCCTTTTTTTGTCCTTTTTAGACAATTCTGAGCTATCTAAACATGAAATCAGCCTTTTTTTGTCCTTTTTAGACAATTCTGAGCTATCTAAACATGAAATCAGCCTTTTCTTGTCCTTTTTAAATGAATTCTGAGCTACCTAAACATGAAATCAGCCTTTTTTTGTCCTTTTTAGATAAATTCTGAGCTATCTAAACACAAAATCAGCCTTTTTTTGTCCTTTTTAGACAATTCTGGGCTACCTAAACATGAAATCAGCCTTTTCTTGTCATTTTTAAATGAATTTTGAGCTACCTAAACACAAAATCAGCCTTTTCTTGTCCTTTTTAGAAAATTCTGAGCTATCTAAACACGAAATCAGCCTTTTTTTGTCCTTTTTAGACAATTCTGAGCTATCTAAACATGAAATCAGCCTTTTTTTGTCCTTTTTAGACAATTCTGAGCTATCTAAACATGAAATCAGCCTTTTCTTGTCCTTCTGAGCTATCTAAACATGAAATCAGCCTTTTTTTGTCCTTTTTAGACAATTCTGAGCTATCTAAACATGAAATCAGCCTTTTCTTGTCATTTTTAAATGAATTCTGAGCTCCCTGAGGAGCAGCAGAGTTTTGAACAGGTGTAAAACATCAGCTAAAGGAGGCCTGAGTGTCCCCAGGGCAGGATCCAGGATCCAGCTGCATCCTCAGGCTCCCAGCAGGAATTCAGGGCTGCTCCTCTGCCCCAGCTCCGTTTCTAGAAGCCCAGGATGTGACTGAAGTGGCCCTGCAATGACAACATTTCAGGTCACTGCAAAGGAGTTTCAGTCTTCCCTTTCCAAATTTTTATTTTTATTTTATTTATTTTAAAAAATGTTGAATTTTTTTTATTTATTTATTTTTGCAAATATTAATTTTATTTTAAAATTTCAACTCCACAATATGAAATTAATTAAGGAAAAATTTAAGGGAGAAGCTCTGCAAGGGCTTTTTGTGGTCCTACCCTGAGTTTTTAAATTGAAAGCACTGAGCACTCAAAGTGCAAATCTTTAATTTTGATGTTCCACTTGTTTTCCTTGTTTCTCACAGCTGCCACAGGAAAACATTTCAAAGTGAATAAAACAGGTCCAGACAGCCCCAAACTCCACAGATCAATGTTCTGGAAAAGGTCAGTGTTACCTCCTCCAGTTTTTATCCAAGTTCCTCAACAGGCCAGAGTTAAAAACCTGATTTTAGTCAGGCTGATGTGCCTGGCACTAGAAATGGTGTTACTTTAATCCATTACTATTATTATTATTATTATTATTATTATTATTATTACTATTATTATTATTATTATTATTAATCTTTATTATTATTATTTATTATTATTATTATTCCTAATATTTATCATTATTATTATCGTTATCTTTATTATTATTATTTTTATATTTATCTTTATCTTTATTATAATCGTTATTATTATCATTATAATTATCATTATTATTATTATTCTTTATCCTTATCTTTATTGTTATTATCGTTATCATATCGTTATTATTATCTTTATCTTTTTATTATTATTATTACTATTATTTTTATTATTATTATTACTACTATTATTACTATTATTATTATTACTATTATTGTTATTATTCCTTATCTTTATCATTATTATTATCGTTATCTTTATTATTATCATCTTTATATTTATATTTATATTTATATTTATATTTATATTTATATTTATATTTATATTTATTATAATAGTTATTATTATCATTATAATTATCATTATTATTATTATTATTATTATTATTTATCCTTATCTTTATCTTTATTGTTATTATTATTATTTTTATATTTATCTTTATGATTATCATTATCATTATTATTATTCTTTATTTACTATAAATTTATTATTTATTAATTTATTTATCAAGTATAATTTATATTTAATTATTTATATTTATATTTATATTTATATTTATATTTATATTTATATTTAATATCCAATTACATTAAAAAAAAAAAAAAAGGAGATAGAATGACTTTCCTGAATATTTAGTTATGATCCAGTAAATAAAGAACAACTAAAATTGGGGTAGAGGAAATGTTATGTCATTGTTTCTTTCTTCTTCTTCTTTATTTACTTTGTTTACTTGTTTATTTTTTCATTTTCTTGTTTATTTACTTGTTTATTTTCTTGTTTATTTTCTTATTTTCTTGTCTATTTTCTTGTTTATTTTCTTATTTTTTTGTTTATTTTCTTGTCTATTTTCTTGTTTATTTTCTTATTTTCTTGTTTATTTTCTTGTCTATTTTCTTGTTTATTTTCTTATTTTCTTGTCTATTTTCTTGTTTATTTTCTTATTTTCTTGTTTATTTACTTGTCTATTTTCTTGTTTATTTTCTTATTTTCTTGTCTATTTTCTTGTTTATTTTCTTATTTTCTAGTTTATTTTCTT